CCTTGCCAGTGTGCCATTTAACTACATCTTTCTTTACTTTTCCCTTTGTGCGTCTCCTTAGTTGGTGTATTAGGGACAGGTAGCTGAGTGGCCTGTCACCCCTTAGTTAGATAACACGCCTAACCTTCCAACCCCCAACTCTCCTCACCTTCTTTTATTATTTGTGCTCCTAGCAGGTGGTAAGACATAACTGAGGATCCCTTTAAACTACATATAAACCTTGGCCAAGACAATGAACCCAACTGAAACTGATCCCGGTTCTCACACCGGGTCTGAAACAGAACGCCACTTGTCTTCTGAACGCAGTCTTCACACTGGTGTTCATTTTAAAGACATAAGTGCCCCCACCACCACCTCCAAGCACCCCCGTGTGGTCGGCCCACAGTCCAGGTGTGCCCGTCTGCGTCTGCGGAGCATAAAGCCACCCTTGAAGAGGGTTCTTACAGCTATTGAGCACTGTCTGCCAGAAATCACTTTCTTTTTGCCGTAAATCACGATGTCTGTAAAGTATAATCTGCCCAGAAGCTGAGCTAGAGACAGTTCACTGAACCCTGCAGCCATTACAGTAACCAACTTGGGGAAGCCGAGATTTAGCTGGGGAGCAGATCCTAACATGTAGGAGATGCTAAGCGAAGACCCTTGTAAAAGAGAGAGAGAAAACCCATGTACCAGGCAGGCCGGGCGGAAGGGGCGGGGCCTGCGCTCCCGGGGCGGGGCCCAGCCAGGGGCGGTGCGCTCAGAGCCCCGGTCCTCGCTGCGCATCAGCTCAGGCCGGGCTCCCGCTGTCCGCGGTTACCCTCGCTCAGCCGGCCTCTCAGGAAGGCGCAGCGGTGCTTGTGTTCTCTACTCGGGATCCGGGGCTGAGCCAGCCAGAGGCCAACTGTTGCGGCAGAGGAAAACCGCTCGTCTCCTAGCAACGCACCGACGCCCTGCCGGCTCACGTGAGCCACGCCCAGTTTCCTCCGGCCCCGCCCCCCACGTCTGGGTCTTTGTGCGCACGCACAAGGGCTTGGCTTGGCGTGGAGGTTCTTGCTGAGGACATCCCGGGTGGGCGCAGTTCACACTGTTATTTGAGATAGTAGAGATGGTACAGGTTCTGGATCCAGATAGAAAATAATTGTCAGTGTGTGTGTGTTCAAGGAATCCATCCAGCATGGCGTGTCCGGCAACCACTAAAAAAGATAACGTACCATCATCTATATGTTTATTTCCCCAACAGTATCTTCACTAATAGTTAATCTATCACCTCTTTCGGTGAAGGCTGATTCAAGATCGGTATTTTGAGTGGAGAGCCATAATGATTGGCCAATAAATCGAGGGTTAAAGGGTAGCAGTCCCAGGAGGAGGGGCCAAACCTGCAACCAATGATAGAGTTGGAGTGGGGGATTGAGCCTCATTTTCCCTAGTAGTTAATTCTCCAATTTTTCTGTTTATTTCCTCCAAGCTCCATTCCAATCTTTTAATTTCTTTTTGCCAAGGCTTATGGTTTTTAACACGCATAGCCTGAATCAGACGGCATCTCTCAGAATAATACTGATCTGGTTCTTCCTCCAACTCTGCAACCTCATCAGGATCTAAGTCATCCTCAAAGTCTCCTTCTGACAAGAAAAGGGGCATTGGGTGGGAGCCTGCTCCTTGGGAATTCCAGAATTTGTAGTTAACAATGCAGGGATTTTTGGAAGCCAGTTGTTAAACACAAACCATATTTTTTTTTACAAATTAAATTCTGCAAAGTTCTAGACAAAGGAGTCATTAAATACTAAAGTTTTTTTTTTTTTAAGGATCCATTTATAACTCTATACTTTACTTAGCTAAGAGTTATCCCTGAATTTTAGACCTATCAGTACAATTTGTACTCCATATCCAAATTCAGGAAACTCTACTGCTTCTGTATCTTCTCCCTTTGAGTAGCTGTCACCCACAGCCCTCTGTTTCTCTTAGTTTGTCCTTCAGCAAGTTGGCTTTAATAGCTCCCACCCAAATACAAAAAGCTATCTCTTTGCAGTCTCTGGTGATTACAGTAATTCCCAACATCTCAACGAACCCCCATAGCCTGTTCTCAGCACAATAGTCAACACAACCCACAACCTACTTAAAACCTAAATCAGATTATGCAAGTCTTGGGCTTGGCTTGTGACCCTGCAAGAGCTTTCCATTTTACCCACAGTAAAACAAGACAAGACAAAACAAAAAACAAACAAATAAAAAACAACAAAAGCCTCAGAGGATTACAAGGCCAGTAAAGTCATGACATTTACATACTACTCTAAGAGCTTTTCTGTCTTCCTCTCTAACACTGGATCAGTTTTCTCCAGCCATACCTGGCCTAACAGGTCCTAGTAGGCAGTAAGTGTGGATGCAGCATGCTTAGAGTGAATAAATACATTTCACTACCACACTGATGCTGCTTCTGCTAGGATGCTAGGAAGGAAACAGGATCACAAGGCGGCTATGAGGGAGATGCTTCAGAACTCAGTGGCCTTGAATTGAAGTCTCGACTCTTCTCACTGAGACCAAGACCTTGTGCAATTTACATAACAATTGCCACAACTGTACAATAACCTGTCTGCTAGGGTTGCTATGAAACAGAAACACCAAACACAGAACACTTCAGGAAGCATCTGGAACTACACAAGTGATGGTGACAGTTTTAATTGGAACATGCATTCCATGACCAAGAGTTTTTTGACCAAAGAGCATTTGCAGACTGGACCTAGACTCCCTACACATATGTAGCAGATATGCATCGTGGTCAACACGTGGGTTCCCTAACGATGGGAGCAGCGGCTGTCTGATTCTGCTGTCTGCCACTGGATCCTTTACCCCTCGCTGGGCTGCTTTGTCTGGCCTCAGTGGGAGAGGCAGTGCTTAGTCCTGCTGTGACTTGAGGTGCCTAAGTGGCCCTCCTTTTCGGGGGTGGGGTGGGGTGGGGAGGTGGAGTGGAGAATAAAAATGGCACTGGGAGGAGAGGAGGGAGGGAGCTGGGATCAGGCTGTAAAGAGATTAAATAAATAAATAGATGTTTTTGGGCTGCTTTCCTTGCCACTATGCTTTAGTGCTCAGTCCTGAATCTCTAACATAACAAGAGTGAGTGATCATTTGTTTAACAAATAAATGAATTTTGATCATCAGATTTTCTAGAATATGGGAGTAGGCATCTTTGGTTCCTTACCCAAAACCTGCATATTATTCCATATACAGATTTCATCCATGTAAACAATGTGTATTTTTAAAGTCTGTGTGTGTACACATACGTGTGCATATCTGTGCCTCTGTAGATATGTTCACATGAGTGCAGCTGCTTATGAAGGCCCTGGAACCAGAATGACAGATGATTTTTGAGCCACCTGATGTGGGTGATAGGAACAGAACTTGGCCTCTCTTCAAGAGCAGTAAGAAGTCTTAACTGCTAAGCCATCTCCAAAACAATATGTGTTGATCGTATCAATTTCCAATTCTTCATCCCCAGGTACCCACAAGCAATTCATTTTCTTGTCTTTTATGCCTGCCTTAATTTGTAGGAAGAGTAAAAGATTTCTGAACCCACAAAGGCCAAAAATGAACTTAGAAGCAAACACATGATTAATCGGATGTATATTACATACATACATATATACTTACATACAGTGTGTGCCTATGTGAAATTGCACAGTGTGAAACTGCACAGTTCACTGAAGTCTCTTTTCTAGTGTTTGTTGTTGTCATTTTGAGACAAGGTCTCACTATGTAGCTCTGGCAAACCTGGATTTTGCTATGTATACCAAGCTAACTCTGACCTCACAGAGATCTGCCTGCCTCTGCCTCCCAAGTGCTGGGATCAAAGGTTTGTACCACCACTCCTGGAAGTCTCAATTCTAAATACAAAATGCACACACCCTATAATACACATTCTGACATTCCAGACAACACTGATAAACACTGCCTGAAGTACCTCAGATTCAAGAATTGCAATAATTTTACTATACATGTATTTTTTTCTGCTAACATAGAAATAATGGCTTAATTATGGAAAACAAAGACTTTCAGTATTTTTCTACCATCATCCCTCATCATGTAAGTATTAAATTTATATATGGCTGGATTTTATTGTGTTGGAATGTTTAATTTTTAAAATTGACACTGAGATGTGATTTGTGATTTAAGGCTGATCTGTGCCTTATAAAAAACAGTCAAATTGATGGGCATGATGGCACACACCTTTAATCCCAGCACTTGGGATTAATGTCATTCTTAGCTTTTGGTTTGATGGACACTAGCGGTCTGCTAACTTAACAGATTCCAAAAGATTTTCATCTGTTGTCGCAAGATGTTAGTTCCAACACAGAGATGGACAAGGAATAGGCTTGCCGAAGTGTTCTGCATAGCAGGATTTGGAGGCTCCAGGTGTTTGTGGTCAACAAAGTTGAGTTTCTAAGGAGAACTTGCTAGGAAGGAGACAACAAATGCCACTGACAAAATGTTTGGTGGACCTTAACAGTTACCACGAACTTCTCCCCATTTTCCCCTATCATTCTCTCCATCTCTTTATTTATCCTTTCTTCCTAAAAATACAGCTGCAATGATTACTGAAATTTAACAGATCAATAGGATCTTTGCGCTCTCTTTCCTCTCTCTCCTGTGTCAGTCTATGCTTGAATTGTAGCCTTCAAGATATGGTTAGCTTATGTACAAACGGCAGAGGGAACGAGTACCAGCGGAATCTATTAATCAAGGGTCAGAGGCAATTTTCTCACCCAATCCTCGCGGTTATCCTATAAAACAGAAACCGGGAGAAGACAAAAAAGGGAAAAAGAACTCGATCTTCCACAGACAGGAGGAAAAGCAAAGCAGTGTGATTAGAAAAGGGAAGCTCCCTGGCCACCATTTCCAGCGGTGCTTTATTTCCTGCCTCGGTTCCTCCACAGATGCAGGCAGCTCTGCCCCAGTGCAACAAACACTTTCGGTTTCCTCTGTTGTTTTCTAGCTGGATGGCGACTCTCCGTGACGAGTCACCCACTCACCGCGCAGCGCAGGTTCTTCAGGCGCTGCTGCCTCTTGATGCACACAGCTGGTGCAGTTATCTCAACAGCGGGCGGCGGGAGGCGGGAGGCGGGGCCAGGACTGGGTGCTCCTTGGCCCCGCCCCCTACCGCAGGCTTCCTTTGATTGGACGTGGCCGAGCTCGGCCAGCCTACCGGAGGCGGTGCGCAGGTTCCCGGAAGTGTCGCCCAGGGTTCTGTCCACCTCTGCTTCCGCGGTGGTCGTAGGGTCTGGCCTGCCTGGGCGCTATGAGCTCCTTCCAAGGACAGATGGCGGAGTATCCGACCATCTCCATAGACTGTTTCGACCGGGAGAACCTGAAAGCCCGCGCCTACTTCCTTTCGCACTGCCACAAGGGTGAGTGAGCCCCTCCCGCCACCTGGGTCGGGACCTGGTGAAGGGGAGAGCAGGCTGCGGGTTCAGGGAGGCACTGGGAAGCCCTCCTAGTCCCAGTTGGCTGGTAAACTCTTTGGCCGTAGGGTTCCAGGTCTGTACCACCTCTGTAACCCCAGCTCTGGCTGCAGCCTGACCCTGGACGCTGCGGTTAAATGGTAGAAGTGCTGGTTACTTTTCCGGATGAGCGCATCAGTTTGATAAGGTTTACCCAGCTCTTGCCCAGACTTCCCTAATTCTCTTCTATCACGGGTAAAGAAAACACATTTTAGAACTTCTCCTACACCACGAGGCATTAGGCGTGAGCGAAATGTCTCCCCTCCCCCACATTTCAGGAGTTCTCCCACACCCCGAGACATTAGGCAAGAGCTTAAGATAGATATGCCTGTCGGTTTGCCCCCCTTCCCCTTTTCTCACACATACTTACTTGTCTTTTTCTCACACTAATCTCTTCCTCAAGCACACTGTGTGTATTAACAGTCCACGTTGGGTACAAGCAAAAGAAACTTATTCTAAGTACTACCATTTGGTTTTCAGATTCCATTTAATCATAGGGAGAAACTAAGTCGAAAGTCCTAGGCCCGAGGGGAGCTGAACAGTTTCTGTTGAAAGGAAACAATTGTCTGAGTCCAGTTATTTCAGGACAACTTCTCCATCCTGCTGCAGGCGTACTGAGTTCATGTTCACAGGCCTAGCAACCAACTCCTATCCTGATTGCTGGAAACTCCCCCGCTCAACCCCGTATGTAAAAATTGACTGTTCCGAGCTACAGCCCAACCCACTCCCCCTCACTTTATGGTTTTATCCGTTGAATACTCTGTACAGCATTCCTTCAGGTTTGCCTTTGAGCTCCTGAGTTTGAACTGTAGCGGCTTGATTGCAGCAAATTTTTGTCTTCTGGATTGTGACCTGGTGTTTGGGTTATGTTGTATTTAAATGGACCCCACAACAGTAAGCTTGGCCAGATGTCCCCCGTTTTTCTTTTAATGTTCAGTTATTTTAGGTTGTGGGGTGGAGCATCACATATCATAGGAATGGTCCAGTCAACTCACCTAGGTTCTCTTCCAGCACCCGAGCTTCCTGCCTTAGTCTCCTGACCCATGTGGGACTTGAGTGGCTTTCATCAGCTCAGACTGAACAACTTTTAGTGGCTCCTGTCCCGTGCTCTGAAACATTCCTCATCTGCAGAAGTTCAAGGATCTAGGAGAATCAGTTCACTCCTAAGGGTGTAATTTTTCTCAATAGGAAGCTTGCAAAGATAGCCCAATTACTGTGGGCTGAGGAATCCTCTAAAAAAAAAAAAAAAAAAAAAAAAAAGTCAAACAAATCATGTTTATGATTTCTGATTCTTCCTTGTAGATCACATGAGAGGATTAAGGGCTCCTTCCTTGAAAAGAAGACTGGAGTGCAGGTAATTGGTTTTGCTATTTAAATATTTTTAAATATTTGGAAACAAACAAACAAACAAACACGTATGCTTGTTTTACCTGCATGTAGATGTATACCACATACGTGCAGTACCCACGGAAGCCAAAAGAAGGTGTCAGATCCCTTGGAGCTATGGTTACAGATATTTGTAGCTGTTGTGTGAGTGCTAGGAATTGAACCTTGGTCTTCTGGAACAGCAGCCATCTTAACTACCTGAGCCATCTCTTCAGCCCCATCTTTTTCTTAACATTGTATTTATGTGATCCATCTGTGTTGCTGATAACTCATTTGTTTTTATTTTTGTGAGAGTGTTTATTTATGTGTGTAAATTATTGTTCTACCAGCAAGAATCTTAGGCTGGAGAGATGACTCAGTGCATGGGAACACTGGGTCGGGCAATGGACCAGACATAATGGAGGTTGAGAATGCAGTAGTCTGCTGATGGACTGAGTCCTGAGTCGAGCGGGTCAATCAAAGGAGAGGGTCACTCCAGAACGTAACCAGGCTCTGAGGCAGAGGAGGGACAGAACAGAACAGGAGGGAACAGAACCTCGAACAGCCTTGCAGAAGCATATTTATTGATTATTACACAAAACTTGTTTGTTTTTTTGGGTAAAACAAGTCCTTCAAACCAAAGCCCCTAATCTAATCTGTATGTTTCCTGAAGGAAAGCATCGAGTCCCTGCAACTTTATTTCTTATTGTGTACTATTTGTAACACTCAAAAATGCAAGACATTCCAGGTGTGTCAGGACAGTCTTGTTACCAAAATCATGCAAAGACAGTAAAGCTCCTTCACAAAACAACTCTATAGATAACAGAAAGCAATCATTGTTTTCTTCAGTGATTTCTTCACGGTCAATGTACTTCTAGAAAACAACTCTTGATCCTAATGTCTACCCTGGGTATAGCGGAAAACAACTATTTCACTCCAACGTTTACCCTAGATATAATGACTTTACTAGAATACCGCTGCAGTCCAAGTGGAGCTGATGTCCTCATTAGAACCTCTTGATAACCTTTTAAATAGGCACTATTGTTACATCTAATTTACAGGTGAGGAAAACCAAGAAGCCAGACAAGTTAAATTAGTTGCCCACTGTCACAGAATCAGTGAGTGGCAGGACCAGGATTTTAACCAGGTCTGTCTGATTTCAGAGCCTGTGTATCAGCTATCTATTGCTGTATTACAAATTACCTTGGAACTGAGTATATTGAAATGACACCAATCCTCCGGCTCCTCGTTTCTCTGGGTCAGGAATTACGGTAGTGTACGGGGGTGGGGTGGGGGCTCCTGGTTTCTGTCTGCCTGGCAGCAGGTGGGACTGAAATTTTCTGAAGATTCAAGTCTGGGAAGACACACACAACAGCACAAGGCCTAGAGTAACTGCTTCTTGAGATTGTCTGTCTCTGACAGATTTCTTTAACCTGGCATGGGTGGTTTTGTTAATAGAGAACACAGTGTTAAAAACTGTTCGTCCTCAGACAGATATGGTGGTGCATGCTTTTAATCAAAGCACTCGTAAGCCAGAGGCACTTTGTGCATTTATGGCCAGCCTGGTCTACATAGCAAGTTACAGGTTAGCCAGGATGACATAGTGAGACGCTGTCAAAACAAACAAACATACAAAATAAAATCCCAAGAGAGAGGCAGGCCTATTACCCTGAGAGTAAGCTTTAAGAATCCTGCAACTAGCCAGGACAGTAATCCCAGCACTGGGGAGGCAGAGGCAGGCAGATATCTGAGTTCGATGGCAGCCTGTCTACAGAGTGAATTCCAGGACAACCGAGGCTACACAGAGAAACCCTGTGTAAAACAAAACCAAAACAACAACAACAAAAAACCCCAAACAATCCTGCAATTACTTCCATCATATCCTATAGTCAAGGCAGTTATAGAGATGTGGCCACTTCAAGATGAAGGAATATAAACCCTTCCTGATAGTGTGAGAATGTGTGGTGAGGGTGTGGGGAGGGGTGTTTGAGACATGATCTTGACATGTAACTCTGACTGTTCCTGAACAAGTGTACATCAGTCAGGCTTCCCTGACCTGCAGTGAGCCTTCTGCCTCTGCCGCCTGAATGCTGGGATTACAGGTATGTGCTACCACACCCAGCTCAATGAAGGATTTTGCTCTCCATTTTCAAAGAATTCAAATAAATGGGGTATACAGTGGTATGGAAATATAATCTACCGTGGATTGTATTCCTGATCTCCAAACTATACCATTATTATTATTAGCATTTAATATGAAATTAACCTCTGTTCGCCAGAAACACAAATACAGGGACTGGAGGTGTGACTCAGCCTAGAGCCCTCACACAGACTCTTCAAGGCAAGCAAGGCCTTAGCTTTGCTCTTCAGCATACAGAAATAAGTAGATTTATATGAAGCAAACAGAAGAATTTTCTTTTTTTTAAAGATTCATTTATTTATTTGTTTGTTTATTTATTATGTATACAGTTTTCTGCCTGCATGTACACCTGCACACCAGAAGAGGGCACCAGATCTCACTATAGACCGTTGTGAGCCGCCGTGTGGTTGTTGGGAATTGAATCAGGACCTCTGGAAGAGCAGCCAGTGCTCTTAACGTCTGAGCCATTTCTCCAGCCCCCGCCCCCACCCCCAAAGCAGAATTTTTTGGTTTCCAGCACCCCTTTCCTGTGCTCTAGAAGTTGCTTACAGTTTGGTGGTGCCCTTTCTATGGACCTGAACACATATGAGCAGTGTTTATTTTTATTTTCTTCTTGTGCTGGGGGCTCATTTGCTGGGCAAGAGCACTGATACTGCGCAACACTTTCAGCCTCCAGCACATAGTCTCAATGTAAGAGAAATGGTGGACTTCTTAGGGAGCAGAGGGGCCCCGCACTTCCACTTCTCTTATCCCGTGGACAGGATGGAAATAGACGATGGAATACCAGCTTGTCACTGTGGCAAAGCACTGAAGAAAAACAACTTTAAAGGGGGAAGATTTATGCTGCCTCCTGATGTCAGTCTGTGGTTGGCTGGTTCCATTTTTCTTAGGCTCTTGGTGAGGCAGAACTTGGCAAAAGGTCATGGCAGATGAGAGCTGCTCACCTCCAGCAGCCATGAAGCAAAAAGCAAAAGACAGGAGGGACTGGAAACAAGGTATTCCCTTCAAAGACATGTCCCCAGTGGCATCCTCTCTCCAATAACAGTATCAGTTCATAACTCCATCACAGATTAATCTATGGATTAGGTCAGAGGCCTCATATCCCCAAAGCCCCTCCTCTCTCTGAACATGGCATTGGAGACCAAGCCTTGTCACATGGGTTTTAGAGGGCTTTTATATCCAAAACATGGCAGGAATGTTGGGAGCCACTGTCATACTTTCCAACTGATTGTTATTTCCTAGAGAAAAATGGTATTCTATGAAGTACATTGCAGACTCATTGAAGTGGCTTATTTTGAATTGTGCTGAAAAAGCTTTTTTCATTCTGTTTTTGTCTTTTTCTTTCAGCTTGAAAGTTTTCCTGTATTGTTCTCCAGTTACTAAGGAGCTGTTGCTAACTAGCCCAAAATACAGATTTTGGGAAAAACGAATTGTAAGTCAACTGTAATTCAAAAATTGTCATTTTTGAATAGCACTAGTTTGTTGTGTACATGGAGAGTATTTTTAGAGGCATCTTTTAAAAACATCTTTGTAATTCTTCAAACCCCTTTTCTCATACATATAGGTTTATCATGAATTAGAATAGTGCTATTTGATGGGTGACTCGGCAGTTTTGTAGTCAGCAGCTGGTTGTCTCTTGGTCCTCTAGCATGTGATTGGGTCTTTTGCTTTTATTTACTCCCAGGGACTGCCTCGCTGAGATATATTAAAGCGCAAACACGATGTACAGTATCATATTTTTTAAACCACAGGCTAGCTCAGGAAGAAGAACATACCTTAAAGGTTATAATCCGAAAGGTCGGGGTCTGAGGGATGGTTCAGTGGTTAAGACACTTGATGCTCACCTGGAGGACCTGAGTTTGGGTACCAGCATGTATTAGGCAATTCACAACCACCTGTTACTCCAGCTCCTGGTACTCTGACTTCCTCTTCTGGCCCCAACACACACCTGCACACAGATGGCGCGCACGCACACACGCGCACACACACACACACACACATTAAAAAAGAAAGAAAAAAATAACAAGCAGAATATTAGCATATTCAAAAATAGAATGGAGCCAAACCTGGTGCCCCAGACCTGTGATCCCGGCATTTGGAAGTGTCAGGCAAGAAGATGAGTTTCTTTTCCTTTCTGAGGTTCTGTGGACTGACCCTAGGGCCTTGTGTGAGCCCTGGAGATGTTCTACCGCTGACCTATACTCCAGCCCTAAGATCATAAGTTTCATGTCATCTTGACCTACATGGCAAGGAAGAATAAGAAATAGAATGCCTAACTCTGAGAGAGAGTGTGTGTGAGAGAGAGAATGTTTGTGTGAATGTGAGGCAGGGTTTCTATGTGTAGCCTTGGCTGTCCTGAAACTCACTCTGTTGACCAGGCTGGCCTCAAACACAGAGATCCACTGGCCTCTTCCTCCTGAGTGCTGGGATTAAATGTGTGTGCCACCATGCCTGGCCAAAATGGATAACTTTTTATTCTGGAAAAATGAAATGGATGTTTCCTCCAGAAGGTAGTCAAAAGAAAAATTGCTGCAACACATAAAATGTAAACATGGCAGAAACAGACCTATTATGATCCTTATTACCTTAAGCAGGAATGCATTTCCCAGTTGAAGCTAAAAAATTAAGACCGCCTACAGGAAGACCAGTTCTAATCTAAATACAGATAAAGCAAAAGGATTGATTTCTTTTTTTATAAGTAATCTGTATTTTTTTTTTTTTTTTTTTTGAGACAGGGTTTCTTTGTGTAATAGTCCTGACTGTCTTGGACTCACTTTGTAGACCAGGCTGGCCTTGAACTCACAAAGATCTGCCTGCCTCTGCCTCACAAGTGCTAGGATTAAAGCCATGTACTACCATGCCTGACAAGGATTATTATTTTTTTTTT